GTCCGACCTATTACAGACACGTCACACTTTAGCCTCCTTCGCAGTCTTGTTGGGCGCCGGCGTTATTTTTTCTGTGAGCGACGCGAGTAATATGCCACCGAGGACGATTTTGCCGCCGAGGTAGTTTTGCCACGGAGAGAAGGTTTCACGCGGCAAAAGCTCCCTCGGCAGCAAATCGTCCCTCGCGGCCGCATATTACTCGCGTCGCTCACAGAAAATCATAATGGGTGGTCCAATGTCCATTTGACCATGTTGTTAGTTAGGGTCAGAAACCATCCAAACATGTACGTACTGTAGAGCAGCACCTGAGTACAGCCATATTTGCCACCATGTCTATGACCAAAGGTTTGGTAACCAGGCTACATGTACATGACATTACTCTCTGGAGGATTTTTCCAGCCTGTCCAATATAAACAACCCCCTCCTGAGATTGTTGAGATTGATACACCAGCTATCCTCAGGGGCATGGAAGTCCCAATAAACTAGGATGGCACTCAGGCATATAATGCTAACCTACAAACAGAGCACAACAACCCACTGTACAAAAAATGGCAAATGACAACCTTGCTCCTAACACATTTAAAGAATGCTGCTTTCTGTTTGCATCCCTATGATTTAATAGAACTACAGTGTCATCGAAGCTTTTTGTGATTTCTTGGCAGAGAATCATAAAAAAACAGTGATGAACATTTATTTTTTTTTCTAATCATCAGTATCCTCTCTACTACCAGGCCAGCCCGGGGAAGGCAAGCTGAAAGTCCAGGGATCAGGGCTGAAAGCCATGGCTGGAGGCCTGGGTACATACTATACCAACTTCAAGAAAGGGGAAGGTAAGGAATAGTAGAATGCGGCCTTATATTAAAATTAATCCCAAACCTTTGGCATCATTTAGATGTTACTAATCAAAAGCTTATTATTAGTTACTAATTAAAAGCTTGTTACAGCCCGGCAATGCCCAAGTGGATGGAGTGAGTATAACAACCACTGCTACAAGTTCATGACAAACAGAGTGGACTGGAACACAGCGAAGTCACGATGTAAAGCATCGGGCGCAGATCTTGTTTCGATTCATAGCCGTGAGGAGAACGAGTTTGTCAAACGTCTCATCACTAACGGTAGGTAATTAACAGCTCCTGGGTGTCAATAATCAATTCATTTCCTTTTTAGGACATTTCTCACGACCTCATGCCCATACATTCACAGAATGAAAAAAAATCATAACGAATAAAGAATTATAAATTTTTCAAAAATAAATACTCATTTAAAAAATCACATCCCTTGATCACAGAGGTTATTCTAACATTTTCTTATCAATTATGCAAATAAGGTCCTAATTTGAATATGTTCTCTTTAATGATGTTATGCAAATGAGGTCTTGATTTGAATACGTGCTGTTTAATGACGTTCATCTTCACTTTACTTCCGAATACCTCAAGTATGAAATTCCCGGTAGTTACCGCTATAGAATTATAGTATTTTCTCGTTGGTTTTGCACATGAAGTTAATTCAAAATATATCCATATACATAACTAATATCAATAATACATACGTCACTGACGCGATGATCTCCACACCTAGCTTTACATGTAGAGAAGCTGAAGGTGTAATACTTGTTTGAGTAAATGAGTTGTAATAATTCTTGGAGTTTGTACATTTGGTTTAATCAAACAATGCCAGTCACCATGGTGAACTCAGGCACGAGAGCAGGTCTTAGGAAGAAAACTAAACGGCGGAAAATCTCCCAAATTATGTTTCCCTTCCTAATATGGTACTTGTATACATGACAAGGAGTCATCACGGTTTTCCTCTGATTTTAGCTGGCAGTTTTCATCTGAGTCAAGCAATCGTCTACATAGGATTGCACAAGAAGCGTGGGCGATGGGTGTGGTCTGATGGATCCAGACATTCCTACTCGAACTGGGCTCCTGGTGAACCGAACCACCTATCTTTCTTGAGTTTTGACTGGAGTTTCTGTTCTGCTATGTACGCAAAGGTGTGTGCTTCTAGTTTTTTCTTTAAGAAAGGCTATACTCAATTGATTATATTGGACATCTCTTGGGCACCCAAAACTGCATTAACTGATATACGCATGCGTCGACGAAAGTTATACATCTAAGTAATGATATACACAGGAAATTGTTACTCAAGAAACTGGATAGGTTTTGAAAACTATCAGACGTTCTGGTATCCTTCACAACTGTTTATCAGTGACTAACGAAATCACTAGTTCAACAGGTATTTAATATTCAGAAACTATGAAAATATCTTTAGACTTCAAGGTTTCTGAATAAATATAATTTCAACCAGTTATTCCGTTAGACACTGACGAAAAGTAGTGGATATTACTTGAAACGTTTTCAAAACCATTCCAGTGACCTGAGTAACAATTCAAGCTTAAAAAGATTACCTCCATTATGAGCGGCACTTTCACCAGACGAATATTCATCGATGTGGGCAAAGTCGATAGAGAAATGGAGAAGGGTGCTGTTATATTCACTAGATATGATTAGGGTGGACTTTAACTTGTAAATTGTATGTATTGTTTCCAACAGACCGGCAGGCTTTGGATCTTTGGACATCACAATGAAAAGGGACAGTGGGCGGATCAACAGTGTTCCGGTGGCCCAGGATCTCCGTACATCTGCAAAGCTCCAAAATAAGAATGTAACTGACAGGAACCTATAATGGATCTCTCTGACAAATCCAGCCTTGCACCTCCAAATTTGAAGAAAAGAAACGTTTTGTAGTTCCATAAGTATCATTTTTCACCTTTAATCCTTAGAAAATAAAAGAGAGTAAGAGGAAGGGAAGGAAATGATGAAACAAAGAAAAGATGTAAAAGGAAAGGAACGTTGGTTAAAAGTTCCAAGTCACCAAAGAGCACTATGAAGTTTAATATTTGAGATTTAGTATCACTGTATGGTCAATATTGTTTTCACAATAAAGTATCTTAAAATGCAATGCTTCGGTTTGTTGCCTGACAAAATAGTACTAAGTAGGTTGAGTTAATCGGAAAAAAAGAGGCCACAAAAATTCAATTTATTGGTTCACGGATAGAAAATATAAAAATATTGGTGAACTGGAAAATCAACATAAAATCACCCTGAAGGTCAACTTATATATTACATGTGTTGCTCGTATCTAAAACATTTGACATTGTTATGATATTGCATATTCATCTTGATTATATTGGTTAACGCCTCCACGGTTAATTGTCAATGTTAGTTGAGTCCCAATCCCACACTTTCTTAAATAAAGTAACTGACATTCGCATACAAATATTCAAAAGATGAGTTGTTACCAGTATTGGTTTGGCGTCTCTGGGGGAACTGTGCGCCTCCATGGTAACGCATAATATTGTTCTGTACTATTGCTATTTCACGCAAACTGTTTCAGTCTCACTTATAGGTGACTCTCATTTGCCCCGATGCATTTAAAAAATGCAGAAAACTGAAGGTTTTGTGTATGTGTTACTCAGGCGCAGGACCCAAATAGTTTTAATTTTATTCATCAGCTTGGTAGCAACATCAGCTGATGCTACGCTCCACACATTTCAAAATATATAAGACAACATCAAAATATAAGAAACGATTATATTAAATTCAATTTCTACCATAATCTTAAAGTAAATAAATTTCTACGTACAGACGGCACAAAAAACAATAAATAGTATAATATACACTCTGATCCTGCGTCAGGCACGTTGGAAATTTTTCTGAACTTGTTGGAAATATTACACCAAAGAGGGGAGAGGGAGGTCATACGTCATATCCGTAATATTTAATAGGCATTATGGGAAGTGTGAAATTCATGAATTAGATGTTGTTACCAGCAAGTGACACGATATAGATACTTTACACGATATAGATAGACAGAAGTTTTAGATGCTTTTGAAGTTCAATCTTATTCCGCTAGATGGCGCAACCTTCAAGTGTATCAAAATATGACAGATGGGAATGGGGCAGTTGTCTTGGCTGTCATTGTGGGAAAATGTCCTTTGGGGCATGTTATCATTGCCTCGGTGTCTTTTTAACAATTGTGTGATTAACAATTAAGCAGCGTAGAGACAAAACTACGTCTCTTTTCTTTCCAGAGACAATATACGTGGGGCAACTATCGTTTGTTTCAGTTTCAGAAGCAGCAACAAAGAATAGCCATTACAATACGACAGATAAGTTCACACAAACTTCATGTTCAAAAGGGTAGACACAACTGCACTACTTTGCAGCAAAGAATTTGCTATTATTATTAATGTAACATTTCTGAGATAGTAGACGGGACTGCTATTTTAAAATTTCTTATACTTACATCAGATATGCCGTTGCTTGTCCGTAAATTTTCCTTGATTGTATTGGTTTCCAGTACATTTAAAGCCATGTCCTCTGATCTACATTTCTATGATATCAACTATGTAATGGATTAAAAGGTAAACTCAAAAAGAGTTGCATAGATATAAGCCTTGCAAATCAAAGGTGTTAATAGCAGTGTACAGCCGTACAATTTATGTGCTAATAATTCACTTACAAGTGATCTCAAACCAGCCTGGCTCAGTACCAGTAAAATCAAGTAAAGCTCATAATGTCCTCATTCTAAATACAAAGGCTAATACCAGTATTGTACAGCCGTACAGTCTACCACAGGTACGCCTTAGTTACAAGTTATCTCATGTCGAGCCTTCTCATAAAACTATTTCTCGAGTCATCTGCGTGAACTTGTCCAAAACACTCGATCGTCTACTCTCTATTAAATGTTAACAATACTTTAGGAATATCGATTTTTCTACAATGCTCCCGTGTATGAAGTAAGTATATAGGTTTTGTACAAGCCTATACAGATCATTTCTCTCTTTACTATGTTATCTAAATCCTATAAAGAAAGTGACATCCGTCCTCTATTCTATTCAAATTACAACATTTACATAATCTTAGTTCCAGTACTACTATTGTACAGCCGTACAATATGGGTTCATCAGAAGTGGTTTTGTATCCAGTCTGATCTAGACCTGTGTCTCAGCTGTATGGGTCTGACCAAAACACTCGTTACCCTCATCGCAGTTGCAGTAGTGCAGAGTGTTACGCGCTGGAGGTACGGCGACCCTGGCCTCGCGAGCGGCCTTGGCGAGCCTGTTCTTCCGCTGCTTTGCCGCCGCGACCTTGCCCCGCCCATTCTCCCCCATCATGGCGGAGGTCGCGCTGACGAACACGCCTGCCGTGAAGCTGAGCATCAGGTACAGGATCGTGAAGCCGGACGCGAAGAGGAACAGCGGCCCCACCAACTCGCTCGGCGTGGCGAGCACGTCATAGCTGACCTCTCCCCACGGCAGGAACGTCAGGCCGACTGTGGCGGCGGACAGGGACCGGAAGGTCTCCACGTACGGACAGAAAAGGAGATAGCCTGGGAAGACAAACAATGGGAGAGTGTGACAAGTGAGCAAAATCACACTAGTAACGGATCGAATGCTGGCATGTACCTACATCACATCAGGTAGTAGGAATACAATGCAGAATGAAATATGAAGGTCCCTTTGTTGCGTTAGGATAAGAATAGAATGGCAATGGGACGTCACAACAGAAATGTGTTGTCTGGTCATGGTTTATTTAATTACAACGCCTCGAAACCCCTCGAGGAAATTTTAAAAAAAGCACATGTTTTCAAAACTATAGTTGTAAAGACTGCTAATAGTCCATCAACTTGCCACCAGAACAATGGAAAGTTCCAAAATAAACTGTAGGCCTAGGATCGCAAGATTTTAGTAGTGAGGACTACGTTTAGATTACCAACTCACCTAACATACTGAAGCCCATGACGGTCAGGATAAAGATGGCCAGGCTGCCCAGCAGC